TGGGTTGCCCAGGAGGCAGCAGGGTCGCAGCAGTGTCAGTGGAGGCAAACGGCCACGGAGTAGAGCACCAGCTCCACTGCAGCCTACCACCACGGCCAGTAGTGGTGCCGGTGTGCACGGAGGAAGTAGCAGTCAGCCAGTGAGGAGTATCGGGGGCAAAGTTTCCTACTCGGCGGTGTGGCAATTTTTCGTCAAGCCGCCCGAGGAAGTAAACGTAGCCGTATGTCGACTATGTGGCCAGAAAGTCAAGCGTGGCCAGGGGGCCCATGTTGGGACTACAGCGTTGCGTCAGCATATGCAGCGTCGCCATTCGGTGGCCTGGGAAAACCGTGATAAAGATACGGCGGTTCTGCCTGCCCCAGCCCCCGCTCCATCACACCGCTCCGTTACTTGCTCCGTCACCCGACGTCAATCGCCCTCTATCAGCCAGTCAAGGCTCCAACACCTCTGCTGAGGGGAGTTGTCGCTCGTTGGCATCTTCCGCTCGTTCAGATGCTCCTTCTCCTGCTACTCCTCTTCACGGATTCCGTCAGCAGTCTTTCTTGGAATCCGTTTCCAAGAGACAACAGTTTGCGAGCACGCACCCGACGGTGCAGAAGCTGAACGTCCTCCTGTCCAAGTTGCTGGTGCTGCAGTCCCTCCCTTTCCAAGTGGTGGACTCAGCACCTTTCCGAGAAATGATGGCTTGTGCCGAGCCGCGGTGGAGAGTGCCAAGCCGGCATTTCTTCGCCAAAAAGGCAGTGCCAGCCCTGCATTCACATGTAGAAGAGATGGTGGGCCAGTCTTTGAGCATGTCGGTCTCTGCCAAAGTGCACGGCAGCGCCGACGTGTGGAGCTGTAACTACGGTCAGGGACAGTACATGTCATTTACGGCCCACTGGGTGAACGTGGTGCCGGCACAGCCGCACCAGCAACTTGGACAGGTCACGCCGCTTTTGCCTCCACGTTTGCACGTCCTTGGTCCAGCAAAGATGTCCGCCTCTACCACCTCTTCTTCCGCCGTGTCCTCAGCCCCACCCCCGTGCCAAGTCCCATTACCCGACCGGCATATCACATGTGCAGGGCGCAACGGTGTCACGCTGTGCTGCACCTGGTATGCCTTGGCGAACGTAGTCACACAGGGGAGGAACTTCTGAGTGTAATGAACAGAGAAATCGACAGATGGCTGTCTCCGCGCAAACTGAAAATCGGAACCATGTTGACCGACAACGGAAAGAACATGGTGTCTGCTCTGCGTCAAGGAAGGTTGTGCCATGCGCCATGCATGGCTCACGTGTTCAATCTGGTTGTCAAGCGGTTCCTAAAATCCACCATCCCACTGCAAGACATCCTTAAAATGTCACGTAAACTTTGCATGCATTTCAGCCATTCCTACACGCGCAAAGCACACCCTCCTTGAGCTGCAGCGGCAGAACGGAATTCCACAGCATCGCCTGATCTGCGACGTTGCAACAAGGTGGAATTCAACCCTACATATGTTAGACCGCCTTTACGAACAGCGAAAGGCCATCACCGATTTCCTGATGTTACAAGCGGATAAAGGTACTCCCCTGTGTGTAACTTAGATGTCAGCCATTGGCAGCTCATGCGTGACACCTGCCGCTTGCTCAGGCCCTTTGAGGAGGCCACGCTATTCGTGAGTCGGCAGGACTATGGGATGAACGACGTCATTCCTCTGTTGCACGTCCTGGAACAAATGCTGTTAACAATGGCTGGTCAGGGTGCGGTAGACGTGGCGCACAGATCTCAACGCCACATGACCCCTGTGGGGGCAGGACAGGAAGAAGAGGAGGAGGTAGAGGAGGACATTGGTGCTCAGGAATTATTGAGTGAAATGGGTGGTTTTTCCACTCAGCGGACAGGAGTGGAGGAGCAGGAGCATCTGGTAGAGGAGGAGGAGGAGACAGAGGACCCAGACGCACCGTGGCAGTATGCTGTGGAGATGGAGGCAGGGAGTCCCTCGCATTCCTTGGCACAAATGGCCCATAGCATGCTCGGTTGCTTGCGTAGCGACAGCCGAATAATAACCATCAGACAGAGGGATGACTTTTGGCTGTCCACCTTGTTGGACCCTCGCTACCGTTCAAAAATGGTGGCCTTTTTCACACCTGCTGAGAGGGAGGCCAAAATAAAGTACTATAAAAACCACCTATGTAGTCAGTTGGTCTCTGCCTTTCTGCGCCAACGTCCATCCTCAGACACTGTGGGCCCTGTGCGCTCGCGTTCCGCTGCCATGGCAGCAGGGGAGGGGTGGGGTGGTAGGAGCAGTGGCAGCTCCACCAGCAGCGGCTGCCTCAGTCTGCAGTCGATGATGAGTAGCTTTCTTCACCAGCGCAGTGAGGAAACTACTAACCAGCCGCAGCAGCAGCAGCATCAGGTGGACCTGGAGCAGGACCTCAAACAACAGGCTCGGGCCTACTTGGACAGCACCCTGCCAACCGAGGTAGACAATCCCCTTGACTACTGGGCAAACGAAACTTGACCTTTGGCCCCAACTAGCTGAATTTGCCCTTGAAAGGCTGTCATGCCCGGCCAGTAGCGTGGCATCGGAGCGCGTGTTTAGTGCGGCAGGAGGTATTGTAACTCCGCGGAGGACACGACTGTCCACCCAAAGTGTGGAGAGACTCACGTTTGTGAAAATGAATCAGGCGTGGATTAGTCTGGATTTCAAACCACCAGTTCCTGACACAACTGACTAAATCCGCCATGAATCATGCCCCAAACATGTTATTATTTTTAACATAGGCCTCTGTATGGCCTTCAATTTAAGCTGCTTACGCTTCGCCACTCTGCCATGGGCCCCTGTACCGCCTCCTCTTGCTGCTGCCAGGTCCAGAGTGTGTCATGGGTCCCTGTACGGCCTCCCATTGCTGCTGACTTCATCGCCAGACTCTGCCATGTGCCACTTTCAGGTCTCCTTACACTGTTGGTGGGTTCCATTTTGTGATAGGGTGCTGTATGGCCTTCCATTGCTGCTGCCTCCACCGCCACCCTGCGCCATGTGCCTCTGTCGTCTGCTCACGCTGCTGACGGCTTCCGCTTTTTTACCGAGGCCTGTGTTTGGCTTCCGAATACTGCTGCATCCACCGCCCACCCTGCGCCATGTGTCTCTGTCGTCTGCTCACGCTGCTGACGGCTTCCGCTTTTTAACCTAGGCCTGTGTATGGCTTCAGAATAATGCTGCCTACACCGCCACCCTGCGCCATGTGCCTCTGTCGTCTGCTCACATTGCTGCTGCCAGGTCCATACTGATTCATGGCCCCCTGTACCGGCTCCTCATGAACGTGGGTCAGCGGGTTTGCATCACTTAACGGCAAATCGTTGACAAACGCTGGGACTGTTCATGTGTTGTGCGCATTAAGCCAGACACCAAAGGGCAGCACAGACCTGTTATTACTCACTCAAGCATGGCTGAACAAAACCAGTCTCTACCACACAAATTGGACCCAGACCTGCCCAGGGTCTCGTAAGTAGATTGCACGGAGGAGTAGAGTTCGTTATTGGAATTAACTGTGAGGGACTTTTAAACCTAGGCCTGTGTATACGGCCTTCAATTGAAGCTGCTTCTGCTCCGCCACTCTGCCATGGCCTCTTTAGTCGTCGACTCCTCAACTGAGTCCAATGTCATAGGGTGGCGGAGCAGAAGCAGCTTCAATTGAAGGCCCATACACAGGCCTAGGTTTAAAAGTCCCTCACAGTTAATTCCAATAACGAACTCTACTCCTCCGTGTGCAATCTACTTACGAGACCCTGGGCAGGTCTGGGTCCAATTTGTGGTACCGACTCCTTTTGTTCAGCCATGCTTCCGAGTAATAACAGGTCTGTGCTGCCCTTTGGTGTCTGGCTTAATGCGCACAACACTGAACGTCCCAGCGTTTGTCAACGATTTTGCCATTAAGTGATGCAAACCCGCTGAACCACGTTCATGAGGAGCCGGTACAGGGGGCCATGAATCAGTATGGCCTGGCATGCTGCGTGAGCAGACGTCCCAGAGGCACATGGCGCAGGGTGGCGGTGTACGGCAGCTTATTCTGAAGCTACACAGGCCTAGGTCTAAAATGCGGAAGCTTGTCAGCAGCTGAGCAGACGACAGAGGCACATGGCCAGGGTGTCATGGGTGCAGCAGTATTCGGAAGCCAAACACATTGCCTGCTGCGGAAGCCGTCAGCAGCGTGAGCTCTGACGACAGAGGCACTGGCGCAGGTCTCTGCGGTGGACTGGCATTGCTGTGTTCTCATTTTGTCATAGGGTGCCCCTTGATTAGGCCTCCCATTACAGGCCCTATCACAAAATGCCATGGGCCCCGTACCGCCTCCTCATGTGTAAGCCAGGACCTGAAAGTGGCACATGGCCCAGAGTCTGTGCGATGTCCAAGTCAGTCAATGGGAGGCCGTACAGGGACCCATTGACACACTCTGGACCTGGCAGCAGCAACTTGGGTCTCGGTACAGGGGCCCATGGGAGAGTGGCGAAGCGTAATCTGCTTCATGGGTGCTGTTAGAGGCCTATGCTGCTGCCAGGCCAGCAGCGTGTCATGGGCCCCTGTACGGCCTATTGCTGCTGTCTCCCCACGCTCTGCATGGGGGACTTTACGGCCTCATAGGCCTGCTGTGTTCAATTTTAGCTGCTTACGCTCCGCCACTCTGCCATGGGCCCCTGTACAGGCCTCCTCATGCTGCTGCCAGGCCCGTAATCTGCCATGGGCCCCGTACCGACTCCTCATGCTGCTGCCAGGCCCGTAATCTGTCATGGGCCCCTGTACCGCCTCCTCATGCTGCTGCCAGGTCCAGAGTGTGTCATGGGTCCCTGTACGGCCTCCCATTGCTGCTGTCTCCATCGCCACACTCTGCCATGTGCCACTTTCAGGTCTCCTCACACTGCTGGTGGGTTCCATTTTGTCATAGGGTGCTGTATGGCCTCCCATTGCTGCTGCCAGGCCCGTAATCTGCCATGGGCCCCCGTACCGACTCCTCATGCTGCTGCCAGGCCCGTAATCTGTCATGGGCCCCTGTACCGCCTCCTCATGCTGCTGCCAGGTCCAGAGTGTGTCATGGGTCCCTGTACGGCCTCCCATTGCTGCTGTCTCCATCGCCACACTCTGCCATGTGCCACTTTCAGGTCTCCTCACACTGCTGGTGGGTTCCATTTTGTCATAGGGTGCTGGCAGTATGGCCTCCATTGCTGCTGCCAGGCCCGTAATCTGCCATGGGCCCCCGTACCGACTCCTCATGCTGCTGCCAGGCCCGTAATCTGTCATGGGCCCCTGTACCGCCTCCTCATGCTGCTGCCAGGTCCAGAGTGTGTCATGGGTCCCTGTACGGCCTCCCATTGCTGCTGTCTCCATCGCCACACTCTGCCATGTGCCACTTTCAGGTCTCCTCACACTGCTGGTGGGTTCCATTTTGTCATAGGGTGCTGTATGGCCTCCCATTGCTGCTGCCTCCACCGCCACACTGTGGCTCCACACTCTGGTTTTGGCCCCGTGACTGCCCAAATGAGTGAAGTGTGCGGTGATTCTAAGATCGACGGCACTCATCTGCATATCATAACTGACTGACAGTATTATTTCTCTTCCCCAGCAGACTCCAAGGGCATTTAAATTAAAGGTACAGTGTTCTGCACTAATATAAAGGCTCTCTGAAGCCTAGAAAACACCTTTTTATAAGTTAAATTCGCAGCGAATATATTCGCATCGAATCAAATTTATTCCGCGAATTCGGCGAATCAGCCGAATCGAAATTTTTGAATAATTCGCTCATCTCTAGTCTCCATCTGTTGGCAGATGTCATCCAGAGGGGAAGTTCCCCTTCCAGGCTCAGTCATGGCCGCAAGGTACTGTCAGGCTCCGCCCAACGGGATCTCTAGTGGTCCACGGCACGGGGTCCCCCAGAGACGTGGAGTCTAAGTCCCAGTCTGCCTTTTCACCAGGGCCCCTGATGGTGGGGATGGACTTGGTGCAGACTGAAACCAGGTCGCGTCCCTGGCACACCCACCCCCGGCAGTGGCAGAGGGGTCCCGCTGAGGGTATGTGCCCGGGTTGAGCCTGCTGTGAAGGGGATGACAGATCCCGATCCGAGCGGGATGGATGGGATGACAGATCCCGATCTGAGCGGGATGGATGGGATGACAGATCCCGATCCGAGCAGGATGGATGGGCGACTGTCAGGAGTAGGCGAGGTCAAGACTAGCCGGTTCGGTATTGTGCGGGGGCAGCGTGGTACAGGGGGAGTAGGCGGAGAATGGTCGGGGTCACAGCCAGGTTCAGCAGGTAGCGGGCAACGTCGGTACCGAGGTCAGCTCGCAGAAGGATGGTCAGGGAACGAGCCGGGGTCAGAGCAGCGAGAAGGTCACGTAAAACAGAACAGGCAGAGTTTGGCAACAAGGAAACGTACTTACAGGACAGGAAACAAGACCTTGCGGCAACTTGGATATGCACAGGGCCGTTTAAATAGAGCGCCCTGTGTTCTTCCATTGGTGCGGCCGCGATCGCTAGTGCGCATGCGCGGCCGCCGCCGCGATCGCCGAGGACCCAGCGCTCTGCGCATGCATGCACCGCCGCGAGCCCGGGATCCCTGACAACCTCGTACAGATCAAACAGGGGGATGAGCGGAAGACCGCGTTAAACACCAGAACCGGGCACTATGAATACCTGGTGATGCCCTTTGGGTTGTGTAACGCGCTGTCGCAGGTTTTACAGGAATTCATAAACGATGTCCTTCGTGACTCTGTTTGCAGCAGGGCGTGGTGGTTTACCTGGATGACATCCTGGTTTACCTCTACCTCCATGGAGTGACCCATATCCAGGATGTTAAGCGGGTGCTGCAACGATTACGTGAAGAACAAACTCTTTTGTAAACTCGAGAAGTGCGAGTTCCATCGATCCCAAGTTGCCTTTTTGGGCTACATCATTTCCGCGTGAGGGATTCTGCATGGACCCTCAGAAGGTTGCGGCGGTTCTGTAGTGGCCTCGTCCCCCAATCGGTTCTTCAGCCCCATTCAGGTCGCTTTCCTGGGTTTTGCCAAACTACTATCGGAAGTTCATCAGGAACTTCTCCACGTTTGGCAAAGCCCTCTCTGATCTAACCAAAAGAAGGGGAGTAACCCTCACGAGTGGCCATCCGAGGCCATCGTAGCTTTCGAGGCTCTGAAATCCGCCTTCGCTTCAGCTCCGATTCTTTCTCATCCCAATCCTGGGTTGCCATTCGTCCTCGAGGTTGATGCTTCCAAGATGGAGTATGGGGCTCTCCTGTCTCCGTCTCAGTCTGTCAGCTTTGCCCGAATGGACCCCTACTTTCCCTGCGGATTCTACTCCAGGAAGCTTTCCTCTGCAGATTGGAGATAGGGAGTTGTTGGCCATCATTCTGGCTCTCAAGGAATGGAGGCAACCCCTGCTCGAGGGTTCCGCGGTTCCGGTCCTCATTCTTACCGATCCACAAGAACTGACTTATCTTTCGGAGGCCAAGAGATTGACACCCCTCCAGGCCAGATGGGCTCTGTTCCTGTCACGCTTCAACTATGTGGTTTCCTATTTGCCTGGTTCCAAGAATGTTCAGAGCTGATGCGTTATCACAGCAATAACTACTGAGTTGTCCCAGGGAGAACTCTGAGCCAACCTCGGTTATACCAGATCCAGATCAGATCCTGGCTGCCATTCGCACCAGTCTGACTTCCTCCTCTTGGGGAAGCAGATTTTGGCAGCTCAAACTGACGCTCCTTCCGAGAGGCCGGAGGTAGATGTTTCGTACCCGAAGGGATTGCGCACCCCTGCCTGCTGCGTACTTACCATAACTCCAAAACTGCCGGGGCATCCGGGGAGGAAACCAGTTGTGCTGGTCGTCTCTCGTTTATTCTGGTGGCCAACTCTCTGTGCCGACATTGCCTCTTATGTAGCGGCATGTTTCGATCTGTGCCCAGAATAACCGCGTCTCCACGGCATCTCCCATTGTGTCTCCTGCAAACCCATTATTCCAATGGGGAGCGTCCTTGGTCCACACACCTGGGTATGGACTTTATTGTAGACCTCCCAGTGTCTCGGGGACATACGGTCATTCTCAATGGTCGCCCGTCGAGATCGCTTTTCCAAGATGTGCCATTGTATTCCATTGTATTACCAACAGCGCAAGAACTGGCCACGATCTTTTCCAGGGAGATTTTTCGCCTGCATGCGTTGCCCAAGGCAATTGTCTTGGACCGCGGGAGTCAGTTCGTGTCCAGATTCTGGCGCGCCTTCTGCTCCCAGCTTTTGGGTAATTAGTCTCTCCTTTTCTTCAGCCCTACCACCCGCAGTCCAATGGGGCTGCGGAGCGTTCCAACCAGGCCTTAGAACAATTCCTTCGGTGTTATATCTCGGACCATCAGGACGATTGGGCCGATCTCCTGCCTTGGGCAGAGTTTGCCAGGAGAATCGGCGGTCAACTCCGACCCTCCGGGATGTCTCCCTTCATAGCCAACTATGGGTTCCAACCCACGGTATTACCTGAGAGGTTCTCACCCACAGGACATTCCGGCTGTGGAGAACCATCTTGCTGCCCTGCGTTCTTCATGGGGGCAGATCCAGAGGGCCTTGAGGGACTCAGCCTCAGCGCCAGAAGTTCCAGGCTGATCGCAGACGGTTTTGCCCGCTTCCTTCATACCAGGTCGGCGATCGAGTGTGAGTGGTTGTCTACTCGCAACCTCAATCTTCGTGGTGCCCACACCCAAAACTAGCTCCCCCGTTTTGTTGGTGCCTTTTTGCTTCTTCTCCGCAAGGTGAATCCGGTGGCCTATGCCCTTGCCCTTCCTCCTGGGATGCGGATCTCCAATATCTTCATGTATCCCTGTTGAAACCTCTGATCTGCAATCGTCGCTTCACTACCTCTCTGCCTTGGCCCCGTCCCATCCAGGGTTGACGGTCATGAGGAGTATGAGGTGAGCCGGATCCTGGACTCTCGATTGGTGAGCGGTCGATTACAGTTCCTGGGTTCATTGGCGCGGTTATGGTCCCGAAGGAAGCGTTCACTGGGTTTCCTTCCGCGGATGTCCATGCTCATGCCTCCTCCGCCGCGTTTTTCATACCCCGCTTTTCCCTTCCTCAGAAACCTTGTTGTTGAGCCCGTGGAGGGGGAGGGCCCATTGACGGAGGAGGTACATGTCAAGGTCCTACCTTTTCCCAGAGGTTATGTTACTCCATGTGCTGGCATCCATCTTGGATTTCTGCTGAGCCATGGTGGGAATATTTTATGCCTTCAGGTCTCTGAGGTCCATCCCCAGAGGGTGTGGCTGATTACATATAAGCCTGTGGTCCGCACATGCTCTTTGCACTTGCGTCACTTCGCTGACTTTGTGTTGCTCTACCTCTGTTTCTGACTCTAGTGACTCGTCCTGGAATTTGACTCGGCTTGTGACTCGACTATTCTTTTTTTTATCTCCTTTGATCTGACCCTCTGTTGCTGAACCCGGCTAGTGACCTCGCTGATTCCTCAGTATGCTGTCCTGTACCGTTTTTGTCCCGTTGTCTGCTCGACCCGGCCTGCCTGCGACTACTCTATTGTCTTTTCCCCAGCTATAAGCCATTGGTAGTAGCGGCCATTACAAACAACTGAGTGTGTTCTCGGGGGGCTGCGACGCTGGTTCCTGGCTGCGTCAAGTCCATCCCCACCATTCAGGGGGCCCTGGTGAAGGGCACCTGGTACTTAGTACGCCGCTACCCTGAGGGATCGTTCGGGTCTGTGGGTGGTGTGATGTCGTCAGCAGTGCGTTCACATTGTTTACTGACGCGCCTGCCTGTCGTTTCCTCAGCTCCTGCACCTGACAGGTGAGGCCCTAGTTTAATGTTCTACCAGAGTTATTGGAGCAGGAGTTGACGACAACGCTTCGATCAATCGTGTGATGACTATTGGATTGTGTGCTGAAGTGTACCATACTGATACAAATTAGATATATATACTACATAAAAAAATAAAACACACCAAACCTGTATATAGGGAATACTGGATTATCCCAAGCTAGCCACATATTATCTTATATGTAAAAAGCCACAGGAGTATTGTTAGACCCAAGTACCCACACCCGCAGGTACTTGCCAGATATTCCTGCCGACACTATAAGTTGCCTGTTAGGCCCTCTTTGCCCAAGCCTCACCGACCCAGTTTTCTTCTCTACTTTTCATCAATTTTGGGGGGGACATCCCATTTTTGGTAAGTCACTATTTTCTCCACTTGGTGATGACAGACCCTTCATGGTATTATCTAATACCTGAAAAATTCTCTTGTACCGCTTCTCCTAACTGATACCTTTACATGAGATCCCTCTGATGCTTTGGAAAGGTCTCTGCAGACCATGGCTTTTGCTGTAGGATGCGAACTAAGAAACTGTCGGGGAATGTCCTACTAGAAGCTGAACTTTATTTCGGGTTAAATCAGAAGCACTATAATGGATGGGCAGGTGTGTACTGACTCTAATTTAACATGATTTTGAATGTGATTGCTTAATTCATGAAACACAGGCTACATCCCCTATTTAAAGGAAGGTGTTCCACTTATTGCAGCACCATTATTTTAAGCTTTTTAGGTTTACTACCCCCACCTAAAACATTTCAGTTAGTTTTTCAATTGAGTTGTATAGGTTTATGGGTCCACATTAAAGGTGGACA